TAGTTCCGGCTACTTGGAAGGCTGAGGCGGAAGGATCGCCGGAGCCCAGCAGGTTGAGGCTGCGGTGGCTGGGAGTGTGTCGCTGCACTCCAGTCTGGGCGACAGAGAGACTCCAGCTCAAAAAAAAAAAAAAAGGAAAGAAACAGGCCTGGCCACAGCGCAGGATCTTGGGCAAGTCCTTTCCCTAAGCTGAGCCTCAATTTACTAATCTGTGAAATGGAGATAAGTCACCCCTGCCTGGCCCTTCTCATCCCAGGGCCTGGCTGCACGTTGTGAATGTCAGAAGGAAGGTTTGGATGAGTTGTGGGACGGCCGGAACAAAGCTCACGGGAGGAGGGGCTTCGCAAACGTGCTCACAACCCTCCCCGCTGTGCCCGCAGCCTTCTCCCTGCTCGTGGTAGATGAGTGTCACCACACGCACAAGAATACCACCTACAACATCATCCTCAATCAGTACCTAGAGCAGAAACTCCAGAGGGCCCAGCCTCTACCCCAGGTGCTCGGTCTCACAGCCTCCCCAGGCACCGGCGGGGCCTCCAACCTCAAAGGAGCCACTGACCACGTCCTGCAGGTTAGCTTGGTCCCTGTGGGCTTCCCTGCCTGCCCTGCCTCTACCCTATCCCCACCAGCCCTGCCCAGTCCCCCCTGGCAGACTCTCGTCCCTTCCTCACCTAGATTCCAGCCTTCCGTGGTGGCTTCTTATGTAGAATAAACCCCAAAACTCTATTTTCTACTTTACGAAGTTCCGTGGGACCCCGCTACCCCCCACCCCTACATCTCATTCTCCACGCTGCCTCCTCCCCGCCTCCCCCCCCACTCGTAGTGTGGCCACCCTGGCCTTCTTCCTTCTCTCATGCATGTCGGGCTTGCTCCCACCTCACCTCAGGACCTTTGCACCTACCACTTTTGCCTGAAATGCCCTTCCCCTTGAACTTGACCTGTCTGATTCTTTTTCACTCATTAAACAGCTTAAATGCTGCCCCTTCCAAGTCTTCCCTGATCACCCCCCTGCTCTCCAGCATATCAGCTGGTGCTGTCCTCTTCAGAGCTTGTTGACACCATGTGAAAGTCTCACATTCTGTTACGTGTCCCTGGTTGATGATGTCTCCCCAGGGCCTAGAACAGCACTGCCACAGAGAGACAGAGAAGCCGATCAGTGCATGTTTGTTGAGTACATGACTCCCACCCCCAACAGCCCCACCTCAGGCTCTCCTGTCCTCAGCCGGAACCCACCCTGCCCAAAGGTCTGCCCATTGCCCCCCTCCAGACCCCCATTTGCAGTGAGGCCCTCTCTGTTACTCCAGCTCTGTGCCAATTTGGATACCTGGTGCATCATGTCACCCCAGAACCACCACCCCCAGCTGCCGGAGCACAACCAGCAACCTAACAAACAGTATGACCTCTGCCAGAGATGCAGCCAGGTGTGTGGCTTAGGGGCACTGGTGGCCGGGGGGCTGGTGTGAAGCTACGGCACCTAGGCTTGGGCCTTGGCCACCCTCACAAGTGCTCGGCTCTTCTCTCCAGTCACACCCCAGTGCCTGGCCCTTCATGGAGCCCGTGAAGAAGTCGGAGGCCCCTGACTACTATGAGGTCATCCGCTTCCCCATCGGTGAGGACTCTCCAGCCTTCCCCTCCCTCCCTCCTTCCCTCTTCTGCCCCAAGCCTGCACCTGCTCTCATCCTTCTGGGCCATGCAGGGCCCTGGGGCCCACCCTGGTGGACAACCCCCCCATTCCCACCACCTCTCAAAGCCACGGTCCCTCTCCTGCTACCCAGACCTGAGGACCATGACCGAGCGGTTGCGAAGCCGCTATTACGTGACCCGGAAGCTCTTTGTGGCCGAACCGCAGCAAGTCATTGCCAACTGCCGCGAATATAACCCTCCGGACAGCTAGTACTGCCGCTGTGCCAGCGCCCTGGAGAAGTTCTTCTACTTTAAGCTCAAGGAGGGCGGGCTCATTGATAAGTAGGCCCCGGTCCTGACCTGGGATGTCTCCACATCAGATCTTGATCCTCTGGGATGCCCTGGCCCCCATTCCGACTCCCAGCTTGAGATGCTCCAACCAGGGGCCCTCCCGCCCTGACCCTGCAGCCTGGCTGGGACGCTCAGGCACCCCAAGCCTGTGGCTCTGTCCCAACTTTCACCATGTCTGAGAGACCTCCGGGGTCCGGGGTCCAGGCCTCTAGAGTGGCTGGTGACCAGAGGGTGAGCCCTGCCCAGCCCCGGTGGCCCCTAGACCAGGTTTCCACGGAGCTAGGAGTCCTGGGTCTGGCCCCGGTGGCTGTTTCCTGAGGGCCAGGACCGCTCGTTTTAGTTCAAGTGAGTGGGCTTCAGGGCTGGAAGTTCAGTCCGGACTGAAGGGGGCATGCCTTGCCCCGGGGGTGGGGGGCACAGGGACCATTCATTCCCTGGCATTAATCCCTTGGAGGGAACAATAAAGCTCTTTTGTTTTCTCTGTGTGACAGTTTCTTCACA